CATGTGACAAAGGGCATCTAAGGAAAGGGTGAAAATTGTCCTCTGGTTCATGATCACAAACAGAACATATGTCATCATTTTCTAGCCCCCTACTAAACTTTTTTTGTCAAGTTGGTAATGCATTAGTTGCAAATTTCCAAGCATGATTACGGACAGTCGGTGGAACGTCACACGACCAGATAAGTTTCTAGCAAGAACGGCGCTGACCTGGCCGAGAACTAGAACCAGTAGCCGACCCGCTATGTACTTCATCAAAAACTAAATTGTATGCACTCTTCACAGAGAAAGTCCCAAACTTGCCAGGACCCCATGCTAAAGTATCATCTTCAAGTCAAGGAGAAGCACGAATGACAATCTTCACCACATCCGCCGGCAAGAACTCATGAAGCAATCCAATATTCCATGCATCATTACCATCTAACAGCTTGGAGACAAAGCATATACAGCATCTACCTTGTAGTGTGATAGGCTTGTAAAAGAATGGTCTCGAAATCCAGTTATCACGCCAAACAAGTATGCTCCTTCCGTTGCCCACTCTCCACACCAAGACCTTCTTTAGAAGCTCGAGCCCATAAGTAATAGACTACCAAGAAGAAGAAGCATTGCACGTAAAAACGGTGTCCACCAACTTACCCTTCGGATAGTACCTAGCCTTTAGGACTTGAGCACAAAGACTGTACGGTTTTGAAATAAGTCTCCAGGCCCGCCTTGCTAGAAAGATTGATTGAAAAGACGGAAATCTCAAAAGCCCAAACCACCTTTATCTTTTGGCTGCAACAAAGTATCCCAAGCCTGCCAGTGCACCTTTCTTTTGCCTTTCAAAGAACCCAAATAAAATTCGCTCACCATCTGAAAGGATTGATATAGTTGACTAGAGGTGGGGTGAATAGGCAACTAACAATTTTTAGCTTTTCTTTACCAATTTAAACTTTGTATCAAAGTAGGTTGTCTAGATATGCAACGAGGTGAGCAACCTATATGATGCAACAATAACAACAAGCACACAAGCAAGCAAGGGATACAACACAAATATAAGCTTGCACAAGTAAAGGTGAGAGATAACCAATAGTGGAGCCGGTAGAGATAAGGATGTGTTACCGAAGTTCCTTCCCTTTGAGAGGAAGTACGTCTTCGTTGGAGCGGTGTGGAGGCACAATACCGCCCAAGAAGCCACTAGGGCCACCGTATTCTCCTCACACCCTCACACAATGCGAGATGCCATGATTCGACTATTGGTGCCCTTGAAGGCGGCAACCGAACCATTACAAACAATGTTGGTGCTCTCTCCACAACCGAATTGGAGGCTCCCAACGAAACCATGGAGCTTCACCACAAGGGAATATGTCTCCAATGTGACCTCAACCGTCTAGGGTGCTCAAACACCCAAGAGTAACAAAATCCACACAAGAAAGTATGGGGGAATCAAATATCCTTTGGTGGAAGCGTAGATCTAGGTCTCCTCCTTCAATCACTAGCAAATAAACAAGTTTGAGTGGCTAGAGAGAGAGATCGGGCAAGAAAGCTTGAAGGGCATTAATGGTGGAGAGAGAGAGGCAAGAGGTAAATGTGGTAGGTGGAAGAACCTCCCTTATATAGCAAACCCTAAAATCCAACCGTTACTGCAAAAACAACACTGCAGCGGTACAACCGCTCCTTGTCCCGGTACAACCGGGACTCATGGGTATACGGCAGAAACCCTATCAAGCGGTACAACCGGACAGACAAGCGGTAGTACCGGTTGTGAAGAACAACCGGAACAACCGCTCATAGCCACTGCTCAACCACCGCTTTGAAACAGAAGGGAGTCACCATGTGAGCGGTGATCGAGCGGTACTGCGCCGGTGCAACCGCCTGGCCCTAGTACCCTGGGTGGCTAAGTCCCAAGCGGTAGAACCACTTAGGGCACCGGTGGTACCGATGTGCGGAGCACAACCGGAACAACCGGGCCACCACCGCCCAAGTACCGCATCAAAACAGAAACCATACCAGTTGTTGAGCGGTACCTGGCCGGTATAACCGCCAGCGACACACCCCAGACATTTTTAAGCAAGGTGGCAGTACTACCGCCCGGGGGCAGCAGTACAACCGCTTGGTCATGAACTGCGGGACCCCATGGTATCACCCCTGGGGTGGTGGTTGGGTCGGTGCCAAGGGCCAGCGGTACAACCGCTCGGGCGAGTGGTACAACTGCTGAGAGTACACAACAACAGTTGAAAAAGAAGGGGAGCTCTCTCTCTAACAAGAAACGGAAGGCAAAGGTGGGTAAGGAAAAAGTGTACGTGCAATGATTCACCCAACTCCTTCCGATGTGGATTCCCTCTTAATAGTACGGGTTTCCTACGACCAAAGAGATAAACATGTAGACAAACATCGTCTTCGATCTTTTCCTTCCAGAGAGAATAACTAATTGATGCAAGCCTAATCACCGAGAACCTGAAGCACTTAGCACAAGATTAGACCAACAAAGGGTTGTCATCATCATCCAAAACACAAAGTAGGGAAATGACCTTACACCATCCTAGTGAGTTCGTCAAAAATTGAGAAGGGCAACTCAAAAAAACCCATAATATATGTGGGTAGTGCTTGAGCTACAAACTTAATAAGTGCCTCTCTACCAGGTTGAGTGAGATGGCCATCTCCCCACTGAATATTTTGGAATCTTCCTTTTGACATCCAACCATCAGGACTAGGAAGCCCCAAATATTTTTCCTCGAAGACCATACTAGTGACACTAAGAACTTCTCTTACTTCCTGCTAAACACCATCTGGACATGCATGCCCAAAAAGAATATAACATTTATTGAAATTCAAACTCTGTCCCGTGGCATTACTATAGAGATCCAAAGCCAGTTTGATCCTTAATGCTTGAGCTTGTGATGCCTCAAAGAATAGCAAAGTATCATCAGCAAACAAAAGATGCAAAGTACCCAAAGCTCTTCTGCATACCTTAATAGGAGTAATATCACATTCAGAGACATTGTTTTTTAGGATTCCAGATAGACCATCAACTACAAAAAGAAACAAGGACAGAGAGAGAGGGTCTCCTTGACATAGCCTACGCCACAGTGCAAATTAATCCAAGAGGATTTCATTTAATTTGATAGAATACTTCACCGATATGATACAAGACATTATCCAGTCCGCCCAACGGCGAGAGAAATCCAAATTTTGCATCACCTGCTCAAGGAATCCCCAGTCAACCCTGTCATAGGCCTTGGATAGGTCAAACTTGTACGCACAGAAACTTTTTGTGGTATCTTTCTCAGCAAGTCAACCGAGGCGATGACCTTCACGGTGCTCAGCCTCCAAGCCTAAGACAGCTAGAAATCGGGAGGTACTCTGTGGAACTCATCTCCATCAATTGACTGGACACTTGCGTCATCTTGCTGACATCGAGCCTCACCTCAATTTAGATGTTTACTCGTTAGGTTCGTATGAACGAGCCCAACCCCCTCATGTTAGATCTTTAGTTTGAGCCTCCTGTGAAACATAATTTTGTCAACTTATATGAAAGGCTTGTATTTGATGCTTGCAACTTCTACAGTTTTACCTCAACTTTGTCCCTTTTTATCGTGCTAAGTCCATGGGAGCTCCAATATACCTACAAAGACAACAAACCCAAGTAAAAACTACTAAAAACTAAATATTATTCAGTGACCTCAATAAAAATACATGGAAAATAGAATGTATGCAAAATGGACATGAAAATGGCTAGATGGATATGATACGAGGGATTTTGATGTGAAAATGTGCGACTAATGAGCTCTAAAACATGACACGAAATCCACCCATCATATGTCACTTCATGATGAATCATGGAAAAAGACTACCATGCATAAAAAATCCACCTCGACATTCAAACATGCATGAGTAATTTCATCCTAATACGCTATTTATATTTAATAAATATTTTAAAATTATAGAATAGTCAAACACAAAAATATATGTATTTTTAGTTTTAATTATCATATTATTACTCCAAATATGCATGTTCCATACAACAAAATCTCATTAAACTACATTACAAAACATTCAGGCGACGACCGTGAGGGTGTTATCTAGTACTAATAGATTAGGCCAACTTTGCCGGTCTATCTTTAGTATAGAATTTGAAAGATTAAAATGAAAAGATGATCTAATTTTGGAGGACAAAGAAAACTCTTTCAATTAAAAGTGTATCAGAATTATTCCCCTTATTCGATTTCAATAGAAGAGGGGAATGCTTTGTCGAAGAAATTAAGAAAAATAAAATAGCATACAACAAAATAGATAGCGGGACTGGCACTGTAACTTTTTATACACCAAACAATCTAAGGAGTTTGACGAGATAAATTGCACAAAACAACAAAAATTTGCATAAGAGATTGATGATTAATGGAGGCACACACAGAAGCCGGTATGAGTTATTTAAGAGCTCCATGGCGGTGCCACCGAGGGCAATATTCAGGTACCAACCGAAGTAGCGGCGGGAGATCATAGCACAAGCAGAACCAATTAGAAAATTGGGGGTGGCATGTAAAATTGTCCATATGGGTCGTGCCTCGCAGACCGGCCATGGACATGGATTCTGGGCCAGACACGGGACATGTCACATGAATAAAAGGGTTGGGTCGGCCTTCAGCTCGCCATGGAACAAGGCCAATCCTCGAGGTCAGGGCTTAATGCCGGTCACGACACGACCCTTTCAAATGTGGGGCCCTTTTAGGGCTGTTTTGGTCTTTTAATTTTTTAAGGCTGTTTAGGCCTAGCTATTTTCGGCCTTTTTAACGCGGGCTGCCCGTAGCGGTGTCGTGTCGGGCCAGTGCTATTAACTCACGTGTCAGGCCGATCCTCAAAGCCAGGCCTTGGGGCTAGAACGGGCTGGACGGGCCGGGCTGGCCCATATGGCCAGATTTGGTGGCATGTCACGGCCCCCAAGAGCGAGATATTACGGTCCAACAAACACGGCATCTCCTCTTTCCCACTGAACGCCCCGCACGTGCCACTGCTTTTATCCACACATGGCGGCGACCTCGCCAGCGCCGATGAGGGCCGTCGCCGCCGCGTTTACCCCGCCTCCGTTATCTCAGAGGATCACCCGTATCTCTACCGTGTCTGCCGTCCACCTTCACCAATGCCGCGCAGCTCACCGGTGGCGCCCTGCACAGTGCCGCGGGAAGCCGGCCGTCAGTGGCGTGGCCGAGGACGACGAGGAGGACACTTCGCGGGAGGCTTTAAATCTTGAGGAAAAAGAGGAGGAGTCCGCGGGCGCGGGGAGCTGGGGGCTGGGGTGGTTCAGGCTTGATGAGGTTGGGATGGACATCCTGGGCATCGCCGTGCCCGCCGTGCTTGCACTCGCCGCCGACCCCGTCACGGCGCTCGTTGACACCGCCTTCGTCGGACATATCGGTAACTAAATCACCTGGATTCCTCACATCTTTTTCACAAGCCTGCCTTCAGCTGTGAGCTCAAATGATTGAGTACTTTCATGTATATCGAAAATGGCAAACACTTCATATGATAAGATTCAGTGCAGAATTCAGTAGAGAAGCTCAGATGTGTATACTTGCTTTTCATGTTTTGTTGATGAGATTTATTACATCAATTTCATGATCTTTAATTCCTGTCGCCAGGCTCGGTTGAACTTGCTGCCGTTGGTGTATCCATATCTGTTTTCAACCTGGTGTCCAAGCTGTTTAATGTGCCACTGCTTAATGTCACCACATCCTTTGTTGCTGAGCAGCAAGCAGTGGATGCCAAGTATAGTGGCGTAGGAGAAAGTAAGCAAGTTTGAAGTTTTATTCATCTAGCTAGAATCAGCAATTTGGTTTGCGTTACACTGATTACTGTTTAGTTCTCACATAGGAGATGGAGTGTCGAGTACCCGAGAGCAGGCTAGTGAAAAAAGGAAGTTTCTCCCTGCGGTGTCAACATCCTTGGCTTTAGCTGCTGGAATCGGGTTGATGGAAATGGTGGCACTTATTGTTGGATCTGGCACACTAATGGACATCGTTGGTATACCTGTCGTACGTAAGACTAATTTATTGTTGTACATAGATTTCTTGAATCTAGAGTTGTTAAGGTGTGGTACCTGGATGTATCAATTGTGAATTGAGTATTATCTTGTGTTTGTGATTCCTAATGCATACCTTAAATGTGAAAATTATTTCTTGAACCTCTGTTTCTTGTTTTCTAAGTCACATGTTTGACTGCTAAATTTGGAGCAAGATAAAGTAGCCTTTACTCATCCTGGAAAGATGAGACTGGATAAGAATGATATTATGCCATTTGGACAGATGATTTTATGGTACTACCAAAATATGGGTGTCTACTTGCTATAATAAATAAATATTTGGATATTGTCTTATCTTAAACTTGACTGCCAAGTGCCAAGTATAATTGAGCGGAAACCATTTTCCTAGCATTATCACCGAAACTTACCAAGTTGATAGCCCAGTAGGCGTTAGTCTGTTAGTTAGCCCAATAGCAAAATTCACCGGCTTGATTTTGCCTGCGACACCAGCTTTATTTGTCTATTCATTTTATTTGTTGAATTAAGGTTATGTAAGCATGGAATTATTGTACAACATCTGTAACTAGTTCTTAGTGATTCCGGCTCAAACATAACATCTGCTATTAAAAAATCAACACAGGATTCACCGATGCGAGCACCGGCAGAACAGTTTCTTACTTTAAGGGCATATGGTGCTCCACCAGTCGTAGTAGCACTTGCAGCACAAGGTGCATTTCGTGGTTTCATGGATACAAAGACACCTTTGTATGCTGTGGGTAAGATTATGCAAACAGATTTTTGTTGTTACATCTGGCTTCCTGGTTAAGATGCCATACGTTATTGATTTGAAATATTGCAGTAAGAAACTAATTGTGTGGATCTATGATGCATGCAGTTGCTGGCAACCTAGTAAATGCAATACTGGATGCCATATTTATCTTCCCACTTGGTCTAGGTGTAAGTGGCGCTGCATTGGCAACTGTAACTTCTGAGTATGTTGAAGCCGTTATGAGATCTTTTACTTTTTTTTGCTTCGTCCTGTTATTATCAATATTTATAGACTGCGTAAACTATCTGCATTTGTTCAGGTACTTGGCGGCATTCATCCTCCTATGGAAGCTGAATAACGAACTAATCCTGTTCTCATGGAATGTCATTGGCAGTGACATCATCCGCTACCTGAAATCTGGTTAGCCAATATCCCTCATGTTCATTTCCTAAGACTTAACAAAATAGTGTTTTCTTGTGAGATTTTTTTGGTCTATACAGAAAGACAAAAGGATATTCATGAATTCAATTCCGCTTAGTAATCACTCAATTAAGCATCCCTTAATGTTGCTGCAACATACCTATATGATAGCCACTCTAACTTTAGTGTTTTTGTAGGTGCCTTGCTAATTGCCAGGACCATCGCAGTAATCCTTCCATTATGGCTGTCGACATCCCTGGCCGCAAGACAAGGGCCTGTTCCAATGGCTGGCTATGAGATAAGCTTGCAAGTCTGGCTAACAATTTCTCTACTTAATGATGCACTGGCTCTTGCTGGTCAGGTATGTACATTTACAGGGACATGCATTTAATCTCTAAGTCGATGTCTTCCTATGTATCTGAAGTATCTATAACTTAATGCAGGCTCTGCTTGCAAGTGAATATGCGAAAGGGAACTACAAGCAGGCCCGCTTGGTTTTGTACAGGGTTCTGCAGGTTAAGAAGATATTATATTCACTCACAATTCCTTGTTAAGTTTCTCCTCTTCCTTGGCGTTAATCAACAGTCATATGCTGATGATGCATCTCTTTTCCTGCAGATTGGAGGTGTCACTGGTCTTGCACTTGCTGCAACCTTGTTCCTTGGGTTTGGATATTTGACCTTGCTGTTTACAGATGATCCAGCAGTTCTAGATGTTGCGCAGTCTGGAGTCTGGGTAAGGAGAATTATAAGAAGTCAATACTTTGTTTCTCAAGTCACAATGATCTTATATTCACTGAATGAATGTGGAATTATTGCAGTTTGTCACTATTACTCAGCCGATAAATGCTATTGCTTTTGTGTTTGATGGGCTCTACTACGGTGTTTCTGACTTCGGCTATGCCGCATACTCCACAGTGCTGTTTCTATCCCCACTACTGGTGTTACTAGTTATAACTCCAACGTTTTCATCCTAACGATGTCGATATATTGCCCATTTTAGCTTTTCGCGGGGGTCGTCGCCTCAGCCTTCCTCCTTGTCGTTGGTCCCAACTTTGGTCTTGGTGGTGTATGGGCTGGTCTTACTCTCTTTATGGGTCTGCGAGCAGTTGCCGGGTTCTGGAGGTAATTCCCTGCTCTTGTTTTGGTAGGAATTGTTTTAAGATCATGGCACTTGCATGGCTTTGTTAGAAATTAAGTCCAGACTTGGATTAGAATTAAAAGAATGATCCTTATTCTGGAAAAGAAAATCTGTCAGTGGCTTGAGCGAATCCTTCTGACTTTTCAGGTTAGGGAGCAAAGGTGGACCATGGGAAATAGTCTGGTCAAAGACTGATTAATATACCAAGAATACGTAGGAAGCATTTTGAGGCAATCACAGCGCTACATTTTAAGGTCATAGTCATAGTGCATGACCGTGGATGTTGAATGGTTCGATCTCAAACAGAGCAAGGATCAGCAGAAGGAAGAAAACCTAGGCGGATAGTGTCAGTCATTTGTAACACAAGAAGAGGCACTGTTTTATCTCAAAAGGAAAAGAGACGAAGAGGGACTGCTTCTGCAGTAGGACAGACGAGAGGCTGCAGAAGGTGGGTAGGTGTTCCCTCTTGCTGTGTCTGCTGCAGGAGGTTGTTTCTCCCTTCCACTGTACAAGGAAGCTGTGTACAGAAGTACTAGATACACAAAGGCCTCCCATATATTTTTCTTCCTTTGTGCCATGTAGGAGTGAATTTGCCATATTTTCTTCAGATATGCAAGTGAACAGATGATGGAGTAGTGGCCATTCTCAGTCATTACTCTTGAGTACTCCCTCCGTTAACAAATATAAGAGCGTTTAGATCACTAAAGTAGTGATCTAAACGCTCTTATATTTCTTTACAGAGGGAGTATGTACTATTTCGAGTAATATGATTTCGTTTGGGGCTTCCAAGAGAATCACTTATTATTTAGAGTGGACAGCCACATCTTTTCCTAGGTTTTCTTTTCAGGAAGATGATATTTTCTCTGTGTTACCTATCATTTTCCCAGTTTTCTTTTACTACTGAAATCCCTATTGCAATTGCCTAGGTGCTGGTTGGTACCAGCAAACCTCACTACCCTGACACAGGAATATGTTAAAAATATGTAGGATGAATGTGGTTTGTATTTAGATAGAAGGGGTACTCTAATAACATTACAAAGAAGATAACTGAGCAAGGTCTGCACTCGATTGCTTTGCTTTCGTTTAGACCACCCCCCCCCCCCATATCATAACTAGCAGAGTGCGGTGCGTTGCTACAACAATGGCTGGGCAACCTTGTACTCACTTCATTAGCATACTGCAAAAAAGAGTGTCACGAGACAAATAAATAGCTCAACCAAATCAGAAATGCCAGACCGAGCTCCACGAAGGCTTTTATTTAAAAACTTCAAAATTTAAACTTTTCAGTTTCAAAAAATTCTGAAAATAAATACAAATGTACCTAGATACATAATGTACATGTGTGCAAATTTTCAGGTCGAAATACATTAAATTGTGAGCTACATAAAAAGACAAATTTGGGGCTTTTTAGCATATGTACTGTTCATCTTTAAAGTTTATGGTTTTGTTTTTTTTGTGCAGCTCGCAATTCAAGGTATTTCATCCTGGAAATTTTCACACATACACTTTACCTCCTTGCATACATGTGTACTTTTTCTTGAATTTTTCAAAATAAAGGGCTTCATGGAGCTCGGTCTTCAAAATGCCCTACTCCAACCAAATGGGCAATTTGTTTGCAAGAGCTCAGTGATGGAAGAGGTGTTGGAGCCATATTCCCTCTGTCTCATAATGACAGAGGGAGTAAGTGATTTCTTCCGGTCCTTTGCTGTAGTAGTAGTAGTAGTAGTAGTAGGGGGCACACCATTTTCTCTGAGCTGATACCTTGCTTGTTGAAGCGATGCTCCGAGGTAATTTGGCTTGCTTGCGTCTTCAGCTATTCACATGTACTCCCTCCGTTCCGAATTACTTGTCTTAGATTTTTCTAGATATGAAGGTATCTAACATTAAAATGAGTCTAGATACATCCGTATCTAGACAAATCCAAGACAAGTAATTCAGAACGGAGGGAGTAGCTTTTTGAGTACTATCTCCGTTTTTTAGCCTGTGCATCAGCTTTAGTCAAAGCCAAGCTTTGTAAAAAAATTATAAACAAAAATATTAACATATATAATGTTGGAAATATGAGCAATTTATCAAATAATTTTGCTAACAGAAATACAGATAAAGCATGACTAATATATCAGAGATAAAGCAAGTCATGCAATCAGACAGAGAAAAGGTAGATAATATCTGCATATATGAATTTGAACTAAACACGTCTAGAACAGACACTAGATAAAGTTGCATATACGAAGTAGAACCTAACATATGTAGGGCAGAAACTAGAGCAAAGAACTATGGCAGGACTTCTAACAGAAAGAGTAAGAACACGTACGGGGCAGCAGCAGTAGAAGCACTGGACTTGGGGTCAACATCCTCTCCAGTCATGTCGTCGATGAGGTTGTCGACGTTGGGGAAGAAGTCATCGGAGTCCGTGATGAAGAAGTCAGTAGTCGCGTGGAGCGCTCCCCAAAAACCTTATCACCCTTCTCCCGTACAGGACTCAAAGAGGTGCAGTTTCGGAGGCCTACTGTCCCGACCTGTGGTGCAGAGCGACCTCCCTTTTATAGGTGCAACTGAAGGAGGCGAGAGGCTGTGCCGGGAGCTGAAGGGAACGAGGGAGACGAGTTCGGATTCAGGACCTTTCGTATACCTGTCATGCGTGGCAAAAATTTAGACATCGGCTCGGTTCATTCCCGCAACCTGCGGCGCGGCGCGGCGCGGCGTGGCGTGGCGAGGCAGGCGACGGAGGAGGAGCGCGCGTGGATGTCCCTCTTGTTCTCATGCTCATACATGTGGGAAAAGAACCTCCCTTATAAAGAGGTCCAACTCCCCCTAAACTAGCAATGTGAGACTAAACTTTAGAAGTGCCTGTTGCCTTGCACGAATGGGCTAAGTGGGCCTCTAGGATTTATTAGGAATTTCTGAAATTGTTATTGGGCTGGCCCATAAATAGATAAAATTCCATCAATCCCCCACCAGATCCTAGAGGCACACATAATTTGCCTTTAATTCCAAAACACTGTTTTATATATCGATACTGCAGTGGAGACTGTTAAGTTGAACTTCCACCTAGAACTCTATGCCACACTAGTAAGCAACTTGAACAGTGGACTAGGCCTTGAACTGCAAGTTTTCTGTGAATCTAGCTTCACACAAAGCCTTGAAAGATACTAGGCTACCGTGGTCTTCCCTGCGGATGGAGCTTATGCGTCATACTTCGAGACCTTTCATGAGTTTACTAGAGAGAACACTACTCTCATAGATTGCAACGTTTTACAATCAACTCATATAGGTGTGTTCTTCAAAAGATATTCTACAGGACAACATCTCTGCTTAAATGAGCCACTTAGAACACTTTAAGATATACATCAACCTGCCATGCAGATTAGGAGAGTATTGCATCTTCATGGAGTGGTATTATTAATAGTAAGGACACTCTCCTCTCAGTTGACCAACAACTTGTCTTTCACATCTAATTCACGGGATCTCCGATCACATAGACTAGGTTACCACTATGAACAACTCATATTGTGGGTCTCATACCCATCTCCCTCGATGCATTATCTATCACATTACGTGATAGACCCTTAGTGAAAAGATCTGCCAGATTTTTAGACGTTTGAATATAATCCAATGCAATAACTCCGGAGTTTCTCATTTTCCTGAAAGACTTTAACCTTCCCTGTGTTGGAAATATGCCCTAGAGGCAATAATAAAATAGTTATTATTATATTTCCTTGTTCATGATAATTGTTTATTGTTCATGCTATAATTGTGTTATCCGGAAATCGTAATACATGTGTGAATACATAGACCACAACATGTCCCTAGTGAGCCTCTAGTTGACTAGCTCATTGATCAATAGATGATTATGATTTCCTGACCATGGATATTGGATGTCATTGATAACGGGATCACATCATTAGGAGAATGATGTGATGGACAAGACCCAATCCTAAGCATAGCACAAGATCGTGTAGTTCGTCTGCTGAAGCTTTTCTAATGTCAAGTATCTTTTCCTTAGACCATGAGATTGTGCAACTCCCGGATACTGTAGGAATACTTTGGGTGTGCCAAACGTCATAGCGTAACTGGGTGACTATAAAGGTGCACTACGAGTATCTCCAAAAGTGTCTGTTGGGTTGGCACGAATCGAGACTGGGATTTGTCACTCCGTATGACGGAGAGGTATCTCTGGGCCCACTCGGTAAGACATCATCGTAATGAGCTCAATGTGACTAAGGGTTGGTCACGGGATGATGTGTTGCGGAACGAGTAAAGTGACTTGCCGGTAACGAGATTGAATGAGGTATTGGGATATCGACGATCGAATCTCGGGGAAGTAACGTACCGATTGACAAAGGGAATTGTATACGGGATTGCTTGCATCCTCGACATCGTGGTTCATCCGATGAGATCATCATGGAACATGTGGGAGCCAACATGGGTATCCTGATCCCGCTGTTGGTTATTGGTCGGAGAGTTGTCTCGGTCATGTCTGCATGGTTCCCAAACCCGTATGGTCTACACACTTAAGGTTCGATGACGCTAGGGTTATTAGGAAGACTTGTATGTGATTACCGAATGTTGTTCGGAGTTCCGTATGAGATCCCGGACGTCACGAGGAGTTCTGGAATGGTCCGGAGGTGAAGATTTATATATAGGAAGTTGTCATACGGTCACCAGAAAGGTTCGGGGGCATATCGGTATTGTACTGGGGCCACCGGAGGGGTTCCGGGGGTCCACCGGGAGGGGCCACCTCTCTCGGAGGGCCTCATGGGCTGTAGAGGAAAGGGAACCAGCCCCAAGTGGGCTGGGCGCATCCCCCCTTGGCCCATGCGTCTAGGGTTGGGGGGAAACCCTAGAGGGGGCGTCCCCCTTGCTTGGGGGGCAAGCCACCCCCTTGGCCGCCTCCCTCCCTCTAGATCTCATCTAGAGGGGGCCGGCCCCATTCCTCCTTCCCCTATAAATAGAGGGGCAAGGGGAGGGCTGCATAACACATCAAAGGCGCAGCCCCTCCCCTCCCCAACACCTCTCCTCCTCCGTTAAGAGCTTGGCGAAGCCCTGCCGGAGTACTGCCGCTCCACCACCACCACGCTGTCGTGCTGCTGTTGGAGCTCTCTTCCTCAACCTCTCCCTCCTCCTTGCTGGATCAAGGTGCGGGAGACGTCTCTGCTCCGTACGTGTGTTGAACACGGAGGTGCCATCCGTTCGGCG